ACACCTTGAAAGTAATCTTTTCACCAAGGTAGCCCAGCTGATTTCCAAAGATGACACAAAAAGAAGCCAGATCAGAAAAAGGTGGCAGGCATGAGGGGGGGGGGAAAGAAGAAAAAGAAGAGAAGAAAGGGAAATATGGAACAGAGCAATCTTCTGCTCTATTTGTGTCATGTTCTCACACACTTCAGTCTTCCTCTCTGCAGCCCCCAATATCAGCACAGACAGAGTGCAGAAATCAGGCTGCTGTTTTGCATAGTGCTCAAGCACATGCACTGCTGAAGGAGAACAGGGCCAAGTTCTGTAACCAAGTGCCTTGCAGGCAACCCTTTCCCCGTCATGCCTGCCCTCCTGTCCAACCTGATCAGAGGGAAGGGGCTTTGATGCCCACTGTAATTAAGCCCTACTCTATTTGGTCCCTAGGAAATGTCATCATAAACTCAATGAATAATGGATATGTTGCTTAACTGAGACTATGAAACAGCTTGCAAAGAATTCACTCAAAGTCTCGGTCTTGCACTGCAAAAAGGAATGTGACATCCAAGAGGAGTATCATTAGCAGCACAGCCTGGTCATGCCTGTGCTCCTGGTTTCTCCAAGTCAACAGAACTCTTTGACCATGAGCAAAAATGACAGGATCAGACCTAAGGCATTAGTGTCTTCCTTCCACATCTCTGTGTTACCAGAAGTCTCACTATTTACAAAATTGCTCCAAGCAAATGCTTTAGATGGGTGAGAGAACCATGCACATGTTAAAAAATCACAGCCCTTGGTGGCTCTGGAGAAGTTCCTCTGAAGACCTCAGAGCAAACACAGCAATGAGCAACACAGAGACAGGCTGTGTCTCCGTTACGTTTTCTCAGAGCATCTGCACAGAAGGCCAATAGGGAGGCAGAGATAACAAATCACATCTGCCAGCCAATACTTTCATCACTGAAAAGTGCCAGGGAAATACAATCTTCAAATGAAACAGTTCCCAAACAGATTCTGTCCAAGGCAGTACAATATGTTTACTTTAAGCTTTTTTTTATTTTTTTTTTTATTTATTTTATTTTTTTTTTTTTTTAATGAATAACATTCAGTAACCAAATAGAGTCAGAGATTAATCATCACACAGATGGTATGCCTCCTTGTTAAGATAAGATGATTATTAAAGGATAAACCACAAAGCTACCTTCATTTGGATAGGGCTCCCATCTCCTTTCAGATTAATACTGTAGTACAATTTTCTCCAGATGAGAGAGCACCATATCCTTCTTTCTCTTTAAATATCACAGATATATCTAGAAAAAAGAACAGAACATAACTATACTCTGATTTTTGGTTTTCAAGTGCCAGGCTACATACTTGGTTCCTTCCCTGTTTCTGAACTCAACTTTGCTAGCACAACTCTTGTTACGCAACATGTCTTTTGAAGTCTTGCAGCAGGACAATGGTCTACTTAGTGTGAGTGAAGGTGACATGGTATGTCCCGTACTCTTCTTCCCACATTTTCAGACAAGCATTTTGCTGCTAACAAATGGATTGTGACTCACTGAGATGTTCAAAATTACATCCCTGTAATTTCCATTTTCGCTTTACTCATTCCAATCCAGACCGTTGTTTCTTGCCCAGCTTCTGTTTGGCAAATGCTCACTAGCTGGCCTCGTATGGCAGTAGAGTAAATTTGAACATCAGGTTGAAATGAGATCTAGCCAGGAGAGTGTAAGAATAGACCATTTTCCATTGACAACAAAAAGGAAAATGGAGAAGTCCAAAATGAAGAAAAGACCTGAAATATCAGTGTCTCCTCAATACTAGTAATAGTCTCCAAAAAATGAAAAACAAGAGCTCAAGACCAACAAGGGCAATTACAAAGACCCAGAGTAGCAGCCAGCCTGAGACTTCCCACAAAACACATTGCCACTTTGTGTCATCACAACATCAGCACATTACCAAAGCAGCTTATATAGTTACTCTCTGAGCTGTTAAGTCACAGTGCTAATTATGTTGGCTAGTTATGTGAGCACCACATAGATATGTCTTTAACTGCCATCATATCAGATAACTATCTTTCATGTTAATCATATAATCAGCATCAGGGAAGAAGCAGTGTTCCAGCCCAGGTGGTTCTTCGATTTCTATCTCCTGCATCTAGATTACCCTCTTTGCAACCACAGAGCACTGAGCCATGCCTGTGCTATTATCCTGCAAAGATGCAACCACTGTTCTGCCCATCTGGGGACAGGAAGGACCCACCCAACAGGCTGCCTGAGCTAGGCACTGGCTTTGCTACCAAACATGCAATGAGCTCTAACTTAACATCCCAGATTTTATTCCAAATCTTTATTTAAACTCCAAGACCATTAGCTGATCTCACAGGAGGATGCCATGGGGCCTGGAGCATCTTCCCCAACATTCAAACTGCTTCCAGATGGGGAAGACAGACATTTCTAGGGCTGGTTGGGAGCAAAGACACTGCTACGATATGTCAATACTTTGTCTGGTGTCTACTCTGAGATTCTTACAATTATTGATCATAATATTTGAAGATAAGGCTTTTTAAGAAAAGACTCCCTTCAGCATTTTCACATTTATGGGAAGGTTTAAGGACTACATTACACTTAGAACATATTTAAGATGTTTTATTAATTCTTTCCTCCAAGCTGACTACAGGGCTCTACCTAAAGCAATGTTCATGCTTCACTGCCATGACTGACATAGAACCTTTCCCAGCTTCACATGGTAGCTTACACTGGGCAGTGCAGTGAAAGAAAAGGGAATATATTTCACCTTCCTTGTAGCAACACCAATCCTAACTACCATTTTTGTGCTGATGGGACAGACCTGAGCCAGTCAAAGATTGCCGTTTCCTGGCTCTGACTCCAAGTGGTCCTGCAGAAATTTGATTATCGCACTACCCACCCAGGTTTCCTTTCCTACTCCCAGCTTTCCTATCCGCATAGATGCCCCAGGAGAGCCTTGTTTAGAGGACAATAGTCCTGAAATTCCTTGCAGACATACCCTCAGTTACCATGCTCAGGAGCATTGCTGAGTCTACAGGTAGAAGAGAGAGAGGAAAAATCAAAAGAGTGCTAAAAGACCTTCTCTTGAAGAAATAAGTAACTCAGAAGTGATTTGAGGAATGAGAGAGGCCATGGATTTCTGTTCATGAAGATGCTGAAAATACTAATGAATTTTTTTTTAACCAAGTAACTGCATTTTAAAGGAATCTTTGTGGAGCAGAAACAGCCTATATAACAACATGCTCAGCTTGATTAGCTTTTCCTAGGGCTGTTATGAGTTATATTTGCAGGTAGAGAAGAGGTCTGGGCATCTGCTGGGTTTACTTTGTCCTGTAGGTTCCCAGAAGAACATTGCCTAAAAGTCTGAGGGTCTTGACATTTCAGCATTTTCTACAGCAATATTTATCTGCCTAGCTTCCTAATCTAAATGGCAGTCATGAAGCAGGTTCTCTAACATCCATTTACAATTTCTCCAGAGTAAACACACCAGAAGCTGCTTAATGTTCTCTCTCTACCTATCAGACACTCTCAGCTATACTTTACATTACAGTAAATGTTATGTTTACATAATATATACTTTATGTTACAGATTACATTACTGTACTCCTGGTACAGCCTGCCCAGGACCTTTCAGCATCTAGCCCTGTTCTCTATTGCACGCAACTTGGCTAAGTTTTAGCTCCTTGTGTTGCAATTTTCCAAAACAGGCAACTACCTCAAGCTGGATTTTTAAACTATTTTTAAGATTATATCTAGGAAAATAGATGTTTTTTACAGTGTAACCCCCTCCCCCACGATACCTCAACTAGACAACCATTTCACTGAGAAACGCTTACATCCATATAATTTGGAATAAGATTTGTGATTTGGGAGAACTATGAGGTTTGCCTGAGGCACACAGATGTACTGGTTTTCCATTTTCCCTGCTTTCCTTAGTCCTCTTGTTGCATATTTTTTTTTCCTTCTCTACATGAGATAGAAGACAAGAAATATAATCTGTTCCAATGATCATCTGACAAAGTTTGGGATTTTTGGAAAGGACTGAATCAGTTCTGAAGAACCTAAAAAAACGCTCCATGCACTGAGATCGTCCTCCTTATGAAGCTGTACCTGTAATGGAGAGAAATTACAGAATGGTTTGGGTTGGAAGGGACCTTTAAAGATCATCTAATCCAACCCTCCTGCCACAGGAAGAGATATCTTTATCTTTCATCAGGCTGCTCAAAGTCCCAGGTGAAGAAATAAATCTAATAAATCAATTGATGAACTGAACCTCTTATACATGGTTGTATGCTGCTCTGCAGATGCACTTCAAGTCTGACCTGACTTATTAGCCAGTCTCTGTCATATTTTTAACAGTGTCAACTGTGAAAAAAAAAAAAAAAAAAAAAAAGCAGCACACACCCCCCCTGTAGACTCTAGGAGTTGTTAATACTCATTTTATACTGTGACCTAAGATCTGAACCTAGATATCCAGAGGATATTCACCTTTTATGCCACAGTTTCCAGTTCCCTGCTTATGGCTCATTCCTTAACACAAATACAATTTGACGGTATCTGGTGCATAAATCAACTATGTGGCTAAAGTCTCAGTCAACTCTTCTCAGAATAAATGTTGCCATTTAAAATGTGGCAATCAAGCTTGTAAAGGGAAGGAAAGAAATGTCACTTGCAACCCAAGTGATTTTTTTAACAAGCTAGGTTCCTTCTTCAGGTTTTTGTCTGATAAAGCCACTTATCTGACTGTATGAAAGGTCATAAGTAGTTGTTGGAAGAGTGGAAAGTCCACTCAAGGCTTTTTTTTGCCATCCTGTAACTTTTGTTTAACGTTTTAGTTGAATTATTATTTCAGTTCCTGGAGCTGAAGCATCTAATCTGCCGCCAAAAGCAGCTCTACACTATGGAGCAGGCACAGAACAAGAAAGCAACCTTGATTTTACAGGAGTGTGTATTTCCCTGCATCTGAAAAGGCAATAAGCTGCTCCACTCATTTCAAAGTGTTTGTGTGAGTGTGCACAGCGTTCCACACAGCACAGCACAGAGGATGCATGAGGGTGCACAGCACAGAGGATTCACTGCATTCCACATCAAACCTCACCTCAGCAGATCCCATGGCAAAACCCAAGCCTTCACCTTAGTCCCACTGAACAGACAGAGCCTCAGAGGAGTGACCTTGCATAAGATACAGTTCTACAAGGTAAAGCATTTAGACAGGTCTAACAACTTTCAAAGGTGGGGAGACTCAGTACCAGCATTTTGTGCTAAAATCATGTGTCCTTTTTATATAGCCCAAGTAATTAATTAATTAAAAGAGGTATCAACTCTCTGAAGGTTGTTTCTACAGCTGCCTTTGTATGGTATGCATATGCCATTTGTTGAAATATTATAAGACCTTACAAACCATAAGCATTACTAAAATATTTTTTCCCACTCATGCTCCCTCCCCCTTCTTTATTTCAAGTCTATGCAAAACCTTTTGCTAAAGATCCAGATTCTCCCACTGAAAACAAGTGCCACTTGTCTGGAAATAGATCTTTTCTGCCTCAAAAAGCATCCAGAGCAGATGGCCAAAGACAAGATGCTCTGGTATCACGAGCTCACACTGCCTCTCTGATTACACGTAAGAGGAACAGTCGTAGGGAAGCATTAACCATTACAGGTTGCTTTACTGAAGGGACCAACATCAGGCTGCACTGGAGAAGAAAAGAATTCACATCAGTACTGAGGATACCAAACTGGATCTGAGTTTAAAATCTGATAATTCTCACCTTCAGTGTTAGGCCAGAGTAAAAGAGAGTGCTCCCACAAAACGCTGTTCAGGAGAGCTGTCCAGAGACAGGTGATCCACACTAACAGTAAAATGCTGCAAGTCTTCTCTAAAGAACTGGAAAAAAAAGGTCCTTTTAAAAGTTCAAGAGGTGCAGCCCTCATTTCAGAGGACACACGGCTGCTTGGATCAAGCTTTATTTTTACAGAACCTGAATCATTTCTCAATTGAAGAGAGCTGGGATCATTCTGCTGTCAGTATCTGCCACCAACAGTGCTAAAATTACAAAAAGCTCCAAAGTCAGCCGTAGCACGTTATCAGCTCTGGACCTTTCTACATTATCGCTGTGTCTCTTGCATCTACTGACAAAGAGCAGGAGCAGGTGGTGACACCTTTCAGGTCCGCCTGTTTAAGAGCGTAGGATCAAGCCCACTCTCTGCACACACATACTCAAAAAAAAAAGCTCTTTCTTCTCCATTTACCCCCAGTAGTAAATATTTGATTTTTCCCCCTGTTCTGACAATTTGATATGCCTATAATTATAGCTAATACCATAACAGTTGCTGTGCTGTCACTCATTTTTGCCCTCAGCCATGCCTGAGAACTGAAGGACCATACAGTTGCCTTCAGCGCACTGAACAAGTTGCTTAGTTCACACCCAGCTCAAGAAGTCATGCAGCTATGACTTTTCCCTTCCATAAGGATGACATGTGAACCAGAAAACATCATAAGATCCTTTTCCAAAACCCCTTTGCATTTTTATGTTTTAATTTGCAACGACAGCTCAAGAATGTACATTATCCAAGTTTGTCTAACAAATCGCAGCTAGAGAGCAAGCCAGTAACAAGCCCTTCATTTTAATTGATCATTTACATACACTTTAACATCCACCTCCTCCAGAAGATAAATTATCTTGCAGCATATGAAGATAGTTGTGCTAATTATGATTTCAGTTGCCATGAAACAGTCTTCAAATGTGGTCCCTCCCATCTTGTCATAAACAAGGTCTTGGGGTGTGGTTTGCTCAACAAGGAGCAATATCTACAGCTTAACTAAATGTACGTTTTCATATACGGTGGGATTGTGCAATCACATGCCACTTGCCATTTAAAGGCCAGAACTGGGTTTTGCACCAACTTAAGACAAATTCACAGAGAAAAAGCACATTGGGTATAGCCTCTGGTTCTGGAAACCATTAAATGACTGTCTGATGGAAAAGAGAAGTATGTTCATGGAGGAACTGCTCTGAACAGCCTCCTCCTGGATCTGGTTGCACAGCTGGCTTTTGGGAGATGGGCTTTGGTCTCACCTCCTTTGGCCATTGTAACAAGCCAGCTTGAAGCTGGGCTTCCCACCAGGTTTGGTCTAGCAGCAGGCTGATGGGGTGGCCTGTTCGTTCTCATCCTCACTTCTATGATAAGTGCTTTGTCTAGGGGAAGTGAAAAAAAGAAAATGCTCTTTGTAGTGCTGTTGGATAGGTTTTGAAACAGCTGTAGTTTGGTTGAACACAGAGGTTCAGGACTCACATTTCATCTTGTTTACACAAGGTAATATTTCATTCAGTGGCATAGGAATCTCATCTCATTTCCCTTGGCAGAGATGCTCTTTTGTGTCTTGTCTCTAACTAGGTGATAAGTTGATATTTGAACGTATAAGAGTACTCTCTGTATATTAACAGGAGTTTTGATACCCAGTGAATTTCAGCTTGGCACGATCTATGAGAAGCATTTGTCTGGCATCATGGAAATGATGCCAGGGCAGAACACGTCTGTCAGAAGACAAGGTACATGACCCTGCCGGTATTTTCACTTGCCAAACAAAGCAATGGAAAGATAGAAAAGAGACGGTCTCAAACCCCTTATTGCTATATCAACCTTATTCCAAATAGAAAAGGGGGCTTCTCTTCACCATGCACCAAGACTGACCTCCAGCAGAACAACCCAAGTCCTACCTTGGAAGCCACAATGACAACAAGCCTGGATGCTGGAGGACAATGGGGCAAGGAGCTGCTGTCCTGGCCATTAAAAAGAGCAAAACTATTTTGTTCAACTCCAAACTAACATTCTTGGTTTGTTCTTTTCAAAGAGCAGATTTGGAGAGTTAATGCTCAAGCTGACCCAAACCAGTGTCACTGTTCCATTAGCAAATGAGAGTTTTAAAACCAACTATTCTGACAGCACTAACAGCAAGCCAGGGTAGGCTTGGCATGAGAAGGTTAAAAGAAAATGCTGCCTGGACTACAGAGATAGCTGGTCAAGACACGGAGGGCTCTTTCACCTCTGCTGTCATTTGTGCTGATGCATACAGGTTTTGCTGCAGAACTTTGCTCGGTGGAGATAAACCATGTGCTCTCTGTGCCCAGCATTCAGACTCCTAAGTGCATTGCCCTTCTTTTTGCCCCTTGTCTTTGTAAAGATTTATATAACAAATTTTGTCGGATCACTTCAACGCTGAGTTATGTTCTGCAATAATCGTGAAATCCCTGCGTGGTAGGCCAGACATATCAGAAAGCATCACTGCAGAGGGCCTGCTATATATTTTGCCCGATGTCCTGTACATCACGAATGGTGTTTATTCCCAGTGTAACTATGCCAAGCCCAAGCAAGTTTCATCTTGGAGGAATTTTTCCAACAAGTCTCATCTCAATGAGGAAAACAAACAAAAAAAAATCCTTCTCTGCCACCCCCCAAGAAAAAACAAACCAAAACATGTGGCTTAAGGCCAATATAAGGCTCTCCCAACCTTCGAGCTAAAGATTAAAATACTTTAAAAGCAAACAACTGTTTGGTTTCTGTATTTCTCCATCACCTTCCAGACAGATAATGAAGCAAAAAAATGGAAGGATTGCAGATGCTACAGGCTTCTCCTTACATTTGTCCTTCATAGTCATTTGCTTCCTCCTCCTCACACACCCTTTTTAAAGATAAAATCCTATCTTCAAAGTACCTCTTTAAACCATCGCTAACTGCCTCATTGTTTTTGTTTTGTTTTTCTAGACAAATTCTCAGGTTTCAATCCACTGCCTTTAGGTGCAGGTGAGTCAAAACCTTCAAGATGTGGGAGGCACTTCATGTTTTCTAAACAGGGTTCAAGCAGTGAGGACAAGGAACTGGACTCTGGATCATAACGAAGCCCAGTGCTATGAGATATCTGCTCATGGAGCAAGAGCAACACCCGGGAACCATGGAGGTCTCTGATCCAAGCTAGGTTAGGTACCCTAAAGGAAAGCTGAGACTTCCAGTGTCTCTTCTCCCCTTGTCCTGAGACAGCGCATGAGCACAGGCTGCGAGGGTGGTGGGACAGTGATGTTGTAATTACCCTAGAGCTTGATCCTGAGACCCAGGACTCACTTGCTGCACAGAGAAAATACAGTCAGGATCATTAATAACTGGACAGCCAGAGCTGTGCTGTACATCTTCAGCAGATGCTGCACGAGGTGAACTCGCATCCCAACCACCTGGCTGCAGTCCATTTTGGTTGTGAGAGAAGGGTTGCTGTTTCCAAAACCTCACTTTATTGCAAAGTGTGGGCTTTTCCTGCACCAGGGGTAGCCCCTGCTAAGCTGTGAGTCCCCAGAGCCATCAGTCTGAAGTGCACAGTGATCACAGAGGAGCTGATAATTGCATGCTGCTATTGCTAAATGGTTTAGTCACTTGTGTATTTAATAGCAGTCAACTCTGCATTTATATTCAAGACGAGATACAGTCCCATGTTAACAGTAGCATCTCCTAAAATGGGCTTTCAATGAAAACTTTACTATAAGGTCCTGAATTCATTCAAATCAGCACAGCCCACTGACACCAGCAGAGGTTCAGTTCACACCAGTTGGGGACAAGACCAATTGCTATTAAATTTGCAACACTCTGGGTCTGTGTTTGAACCAGGCTGATTGTGCCCAAACTACTAAGTGCTCCTAGAAGGCTGATGGACTGATGTTATTGATTGGGATGATGTGGCTGCCAACAGAGAGTCTGCATAGAGCATTTCAAAACCCAGTTTTATTGCAACACTAAGCTGCATTGTCCTGTAAAAGCCTTGAAAAAAGGTTGTGATCAGAGTTTTGTTAAAGTTGGAATCAGTCCCTTCCTAGAAATGCTGCCAAAAATGCCTCCATGAGGCTTCTTAAGTAGGTCTTACTGCTCTTGCCTTTACTTCCTATTGCCTGGGACTGGCTTTTCTCCTCCTAATTTTATCAAACTTGCTTATAACCCTCTCATCCCTCTTGCAGCCTTCAGCATCCCA